GCGTCGGCCTGCGGTCCGGAGAGACCCGGGTTCGGTTCCCGCTAAGGGCACGTACTTCGGTTGCAGTTTGTCCCCGGCCCTGGTTGGTCGTGCGGGTGGCAGCCACTCGATGTGTCCCTTCACGTCGATGTTTCTCTCTCTCTCTCCCTTCCTCTCTCTCCCTCCCACTCTATCTGTACAAAAAATGGAAAAATATCCTCGGGTGAGGATAAAAAAAAATTAACAGTATCTATTACATTGTGTATGGCATAAAAAAATGGAAAATATTAGAACTTGTTATTCCAATATAAAAAATATTTTTCCATAAAGCAAGAGTCACACAAGATGTGAAGGTCAATGAAATTGACCACATTTATAACCTAAAGCAAAGTTGATCTGACAATTCTTCAAAATACAGTGATAGGGAATACACATCTCAACAACTGCTAATCATAAAGGTTACTGATGAACAGCCAGATAAAGGTCCAGGAGGGTTCCATGCACAGGAGCTTCTGTCCCCAAGAAATCAGGGTGCTGTGCATTCTTCATACCTGCATGTGTTCACACACCTGCAAGCTCATCAAACCCCTCCTATTGGAATGCTTACAGAGGTTTTCCGAAGCAGGCTTGATTGATCATTAACTCTTTCCAGACCACTGCCCTCTCTGGATGTGTGAAGTTGAAAATTCCAACCATAATCCCCTCAATACAACAAAAGATACTGTGAGTGCTTTTTTCACTACGGAATTTCCCAAGGGTAGAAACCAGTATGTATGCTTTTTTTTTTCTCATCACACAAGATCAACTATCCATATCAAAAAAGTACATGCTAAGTGACTCCATCTTACAATATAAATGACAACAAACATAGATACAAGAAGAACTGTGATGCTCAAGATGAAGGCCAAGAAAAGGATGTAACTATGAAGGGCTACAAGAGTAAGTTTGTGACAGAAAAATCCTGCATTTCTACAGTGGTATTGGTTACAAGAACCTACATATGTGATACCCTTTTTTTTTTATCCTCACGTGAGGGCATTTTGCCATTTTTTGTTCAGATAGAGTGGAAGGGAGAGGGAGAGGGAGAGGGAGAGGGAGAGGGAGAGGGAGAGGGAGAGGGAGAGAGAGAGAGAGAGAGAGAGAGAGAGAGAGAGAGAGAGAGAGAGAAGAAACATCGATGTGAATGGGATACATTGAATGGTTGCCACCTGCACGGCTGGGGACAAATTGCAACTGAGGTACGTGCCCTTAGGAGGAACTGAACCCGGGTCTCTCTGGACCGCAGGCCAATGCTCTAACTCCTGAGCCAAACCGGCCAGGGCTTTCTTAACAATATATAGAAAAACCAAACAAGATGAGCACTTGTTAAAACCGGAGGCACAGCCCTGGCCGGTTTGGCTCAATGGTTAGAGCATCAGCCTGCGGACCAGAGAGCCCCAGGTTCAGTTCCCGCTAAGGGCACATACCATGGTAGCACTTTGTCCCCAGCCCCAGCTGGTGTCCTGTGGGTGGCGACCACTCAGTGTCTCTCTGATGTAATGTTTCTCTCCTTCCATCTCTTCCTCCTCTATCTGAAGATAAATGCAAAAATGTCCACAGGTGAGGATAAAACAAAACAAAACTGGAGGGAAGATACATCCTGTAGTTGAACTGCACTGACAATTTCTCTTTCCTCTATTTGATAATCTGTTACCTTGTAAGCTTTTACCTTTCAGAGTAGTTACCTGAATGGCATTAAGAAACCTCTAGAAAATTTCAGTTTGTGTGATTTTAAACTGATTATAAAGGAAAATTCATAAAAATATTATATTAATTTTATAAACTCTGCGATGCTCTTTAAAACTTGGATAAACACATCCAAGTGTGTCCTTATCCTTATGAAATGAATACATTACATTTCATTTTCAAGAACTTCAGGTATTCTGAAATAATACAAACCTGGAAGTAAAGAAATGCAAAGATTATTACATAATGAATTGGTACAGTGCACAATTGTGTTGTATATTTTAAAATGTAATCTATAAAAGGAGTAAATGCCACTACTTAAAACTTATAAAATCACTGCCAAGTAGAAATAGGATGAAAATATCTTGTTCCCAATGCCTTGTGAGGTGCATTATGTGTTCAGACATGTGACAAAATGGTTTCTACTCAAGGCTTCTTTCCTTCATAGAGGTATCTCAGGTTTTGCTAAAGACTGCACAGTTAAGCCCTGGCCAATATGATTCAGTGTGCAGAGCTTTGGCCTGCGGACCAAGGAGTCTAAGGTTGGATTCCGGTTAAAGGCACATAACGTGTGTGGTTCAAGCCCCGACCCTGGTGGGGATCAAGCATGGGCAGTCAATCAATTTGTCTCCTTATATCTCTGTTTCTCTCTCTCTCCCTCCCTTCCAATCTGAATATAATGTTAAAATATCCTCCTTTGAGGGTTTAAAAGACCACACAACTGAATGTGTTCATGAGTTATTTCTTATGGATTTACTGACCAACAGTGATGCAACATTATTCCTGAAAACCATGACATATTTACTGCCAGAGAAAAGTATTTATAGTAAGAGGTGACAGCTAATATTAAGGAGATACTTTCTTATAATTGAAATTAATCCTCCATTCATGCTCCTTCATGATTATATGACAGTGTTACTGCCACTAAAGGGATCCCAAGACCATCACATTGATAAGGATTACCTCAAAAACCAATTTTCAGGCATACAATGTCCTCAAATATCTTCATCAACGCTGACTGTATATGAGTTGTTCCAGAAATGTTTTCGATATAAAACACAAGGTACTTGATCAGTCAACATAGCCCTACATTCCTTGTGAAAAGTTATTCTTCATTCTACACTATTATCTTGAAGGCCTACAACGTGCAATGGGTTTACCCCCAAATGGGGACTTGTGAATACTTTTGTTTCAGAAAGATTGCCAAGTGGTCCAAAGCTTTCCCACAATCGCTCCACCCACAAGGCCTCATTCTTGCAGGTTTTCTCTGAAAAACACGGAGTCCTGACTTTGTAGGGAAGGCTTTTCCACATTCCTCACATTCACAGGGTTTCTGATGGGAAATTAGAACTTTCCACATTCAGTATATGCAATGTAGGCTTTCCTAGGTGAAATCTTTCATGTTATGGGGGCATGCTTTCTTGCTAAAGCCTTCCCCCTATTCAGAGTGTTTGTTAAAATTTAATGCACTATGAGCTCGCTGATGTATACCTGGAGACTCTTCATGGTGAAGCCCTTTTGATGCGAATTGCCAATATATGACTTCTCTTCATATACATTCACAGAGATGCAATAAGCATCCTTTTCCCCAATAATCCTCAGCCACTTCTCTTGCATATAGAAATTTACCCCGTGGCCCTGGCCAGTTTGGCTCAGCATTGAAAGCATTGGCCCGTGGACCAGAAGGTCCTGGGTTCAGTTCACGCTAAGGGCACATACTTCGGTTGCATTTTGTCCCCAGTCCCGGTTGGGGTTGTGTGGGTGGCAGCCAGTCGATGTGTCTCTCTCACTTAGATGTTTCTCTCTCTCTTCCTCCCTTTCTCCCTTCAGCTCGCTCTGAAGATAAATGCAGAAAGTCCTTGTCTGAGGATAAAAAAAAATTTACCTCCTGTATGAGTTTGCTGGATGTACACTGAAATGAGTTAATGATAAGATCTTTCCCACATTCAATGCACATATATGGTTTCTCCTAAGTGTGGATTGGCTGATGTAAAGTGAGATCAGTCTTCATGGTAAAGCCTTTTCCACATACACTACATACATAGGGCTTTTCACCTGTGTTTTTGGTGACATATGGTGATACTTTTTTTGAAATCTCTCCCACATTCACTACAGATATAAAAGTTTGGCTCCTATGAGTCCATTGGTACACATTCAGATAGTTCTTTCTGGTGAAACCTTTACCACATTCACTACAGATATAAGGTTTCTCTCCTGCATGAGTCCATTGATGTAAAACCAGCTGTGCCTTTACTGGGAAGCCCATTCCACATTCACTGCATACATAGGATTTCTCTCCTGTATGAATTTGCAAATGTTCAATAAGCAATCTCTTCCTGATGAACTGTTTCCCACACTGACTGCACATACAGGGTTTCTCTGAAGAATAAACATTGCTGAGGTGAAATGAGAGCACCTTTCATTGTGACGCTTTTACCACATACACATCTAACGTGTATGTTTTCATTCATGTGTGATCAGGTCATACTTGGCCATGAAATCTTTCCCACATTCCCACATGTATAACATTTCTGTCCTGTATGAGTCCCTTAATATAAAACGAGCTTGCGCCCTGGCTGGTTTGGCTCAGCGGTTAGAATGTCAGCCTGCGGTCTGAGAGACTCAGGGCACGTACCTCGGTTGCAGTTTGTTCCCGGCCCTGGTTGGGTCCTGTGGGTGGCAGCCACTCGATGTGTCCCTTTCGCTTCGATGTTTCTCTCTTTCCTACTCTATCTGAACAAAATATCAAAAAAAATTTCCTAGGGTGAGGATTAAAAAAAATATTTAACTACTTTATGAGTTTGTTGATGTACAACCAGGTTCAACCTCACTGTGAGGCTTTTCCACATTCACTACATACATAGGGTCTCTGTCCTGTGAGTCCATTCATGTACAACCAGCTGCAACATCACTTGGAGGCCTTTTATACACTCACTGCATTTAACAGTTTCTCTTCTGGATCGCAGATGTACATTGAGATTGTCCTTCCTGGTGAAACTTTTACCGCAATCAGTACAGAAATAAGGTTTCTCTCCTGAATGAGTCCGTTGATGTAAAACAAGCCTGTTCTTCATTGAAAAGCCTTTTCCACATTCACTGCAGATATAAGGTTTCTCTCCTGTGTGAGATTGCTGATGCAGAATCAGATGGTTCTTCCTGGTGAAACCTTTCCCACATTCACCACAGACAAAAGGTTTCTCTGCTGTATGAGACCACTGATGTTCAACCAGCTAAAGTTTCACTGGAAAGCCTTTTCCACAATCACTGCATACAAAGGGTTTCTCTCCTGTGTGAGATCACTGATGCACAATCAGATAGCTCTTCCTGGTGAAACGTTTACTGCATTGACTACAGAAATATGGTCTCTCTCCTGTATGAATTCGTTGATGTACATTCACTGCATACAAAGGGTTTCTCTCCTGCGTGTTTTCTCTGATGTGTGGTCAGTTCATATTTGGCTTTGAAACCTTTCCCGCATTCAGTACACGTATAAGGTTTCTCTCCTTTATGAGTCCGCTGATGTAAAATAAGCTTGACCTTCGCAGAGAAGCGTTTTCCACATTCACTGCACACATAGAGTTTCACTCCTGTGTGAGATCGCTGATATATAATCAGAAGGCCCTTCGTGGTAAAACCTTTCCCTCATTCACTACAGATATAAGGTTTCTCTCCTGTATGAGTCCGTTGATGTACAACCAGGTTTACCTTAACTGTGAAGCTTTTTCCACATTCACTGCAAGAATGACGTTTCTGTCCTGTATAAGTCCCTTGATGTAAAACTAGTTTCTTCTTCACTGGGAAGGCTTTTCCACATTCACTGCATACATAGGGTTTCTCTCCTGTGTGAGATCGCTGATGAATAATCAGGTCATACTTGGTTTTGAAACCTCTCCCGCATTCACTACACATGTAAGGTTTCTCCCCCGTATGAGTGCATTGATGTAATACAAGCTTGTCCTTCACTGAGAACCCTTTTCCACATTCACTGCATACATAAGGTTTCTCTCCTGTGTGAGATCGCTGATGTATAATCAGACCGCACTTCCTGGTGAAACCTTTCCCGCATTCACTACAGATATAAGGTTTCTCTCCTGTATGAGTTCGTTGATGTACAACCAAGTTCGACTTCACGGTGAAGCTTTTTCCACATGCACGGCATACACAGGGTTTCTCTCCTGTGTGAGATCGCTGATGTACAATCAGATGGCTCTTCGTGGTGAAGCCTTTCCCACATACACTACATACACAGGGCTTCTGTCCTGCATGTTTCTGCTGATGGGTGGTGATACGGCCATTGTTTCTGTAACATTTACTATAGATACAAGATTTCTCTCCTGTGTTTTGAGTTTGGTGATGACAAATGTACTGAGACTTTTTGATGAGCATTTCCCCACAGTCAGTACCTACATTAAGTTCCTTTCCCATGAGAGTTTTCTGATATATATTCAAGTCTAATTTCTTCAGGAAGGTTTTGTCACATTCAAAGCACTCACACTGTTTTAGTCTCGCATGAATTCTATGATGTTCAGAGAACCAGTATTTCATAAAGTAGCCTTTACTGTGCAGAGTACATCTATAAGGATTCTTTCTACTATGAACTCTATCATGTCGAGTCAGAAGAGATATCTTGAAGGCCTTCCCACATTCAGTGCATGAGTTCTCTGTTGCTGAATGACCTGGGACTTATTATTGATGTTTTTCATACTGAAAGGGAATGTAATTTCAGGGTAACATAGTTGTTGGTTACCATGCAAAGGTTTTTCACTTTTCTCAAATGTGTTATGTTCACAGCATCGTTCCACACTCTTCTGAACGTTTCCAATTTGCAGGTGACACTGCAGAGGATCATCATCTTGCCTGCATGCTAGGAAAAAAGAGAACAGTGATTCACTCTGCATTCTCTTCCAATCCTAATTTGATACAGAACTGCTTTTACAAAATGACTTTGTGTGAGGTAACTAGCGACAATCTACATTGTAACAAAACAAACATAAGTGGTTGATGTCCAGAGTTCTTAACACTGAACTTGCTAAAAATCTTGCAATATCCTAAGTGATATGAGTGAGTATCTATTGTTATATATATAAAAAAATTTACTAGTAAAGGTGAGTTTATGCTAATGGTTGATAGTATTTCAGGATGGAACTAGTCACCAATTGATTAGAAGGCTCACCTTTCAGCTCTTACACTGACCCATGGAAAAGGAGGAAGGGCCTAGGAATTAAAGCTCTATAAGAATTCTTAGGAAGACCTAATACAATTCTGTATTATTATTTTTTAAACAAACACATTTGCCCAGTGGACAGTCTGCCCCAGTTCAATAGGAACAAAAGTTCCTGTATTCAGCCCTGGCTGGTTTGGCGCAGCAGTAAAACGTTGGCCTGTAGACCAATGAGTCGTGGGTTTGATTCTGGAAAAGGGCACATACCTCAGTTGCAGTTCGTACCCAGCCCTGGTTGGGGTCATGCGGAACACAAGCAGTCAATTGCCCCTCTAACATTGATGTTTCTATCTCTTTCCCTTTCTCTCCCCTCTCCTGACACTCTCTGAAAATATGTGGAAAAATATCCTCGAGTAAGGATTAAAAAAAAAAAGTTCATGGATTCAGGAATTTTCAAAAGTTGGCCTGTACCTATTCAACTGTATTTCTTACATCTTTATAATCAACTAGTAAACATAAGTATTTCTCCAAGTACTGTGAGCATGTTAAAATATTTAAAAAAAATTTTTTTTTTCTTTATTGAATTTAGAGAGAGAAGAAGGGTAAGGGAGAGAGAGACAGAAACATCAATAAAAGAAAACATTGATTGACCTCTTTGTGTATGCTCCCCACCCCACTGGGGTCCAGGCCCACCACCCGGTCTTGTTCCTAGACCAGGAAATGAACTAACAACCCCTTCGTGCATGGGTCAAAGCTCAACCACTGTGGCACACACACCAGGCTGCTTTGGCAGCAAATTCATTAAACCCAAGGACAAGCGCATGAGAACTTTCCATTCATAGCCAGTGGATCAGAAGTACAAATGACAATCTGGACTCATGATTGACATCTGAACAGGGGCTGACCTATGGGGTTGAACTCTGAAGTTTTCAGATCTGACACTATTTATAGGTAGATATGCCAAAATTGATTCAAATTTGTTGGACACCCAGGTTTAATATTCTATGTATAGACACCAGTAGCAAGGTAATCAAGGCAATTGCAGCCTGGAAAATACAAGAAAGGAGCAAGGAAATCTAAGAGGTGGAGGAAATGAGGATATACAGGGGGCAAAAGTAGGTTTGCAGCCCAGCTGGTGTGGCTCAGTGGTTGAGAGTTGACCAATGGCACTAAGAGGTTGCCAGTTTGTTTCCTGGTCAGGGCGCATGCACAGGTTGTGAAGCCTATCCCCAGTAGGGGGCATGCAGGAGACGGCCAATCAGTGTTCTCTCTCATTGGTGTTTCTAGCTCTCTCTTTCTCTTCTTTCCTCTCTAAAAAATCAATGAGAAAAAAAAAAAATTTTAAAGTAGGTTTGCAATGTTCACATAGAAAATAATGCTATATTAATAAAATTATGAGAAAAAAACTGTTCCATGTAGTCACCAATGTAAATCTACTTTTGACACCACCTTTATTGAAAGAGAAGAATGATTCATTAATGGGATCCTCACCTGAGGACATTTTTCCATTTTTTGTTCAGATAGAGTGGGAGGGATAGAGAGGAAGAGAGAGAGGGAGAAAGAGAGAGAGAGAGAGAGAGAAACATCGACATAAAGGGACACATCGAGTGGCTGTCACCCGCATGACCAACCAGGGCCGGGGACAAATTGCAACCGAGGTAAGCGCCCTTAGCGGGAACCAAACCCAGGTCTCTCTTGACTGCAGGCCGACACTCTAACTAACCGCTGAGCCAAACGGCAGTTTCTACCTTACAATATAAATAATTTCTTTTCTTCATTGATTTTAGAGAGAGAGAAAGAGAGATAGAAACATTGATGAGAAAGAAAACAGATTGGCCATCTCCTGCATGTCCCCCGCTGGGGATTTAGACCACAACCTGGGCATGTGCCTTGACTGCGAATCGAACTGGCTACCTCTTGGTACAGGGGTCGACGCTCAACCACTGATCCACACCGGCCCTGCTTAACTTTAAATACTTTTAAGAGACTCACTGGATTAGATCAGGTAATTTGGCCCATTTCATGTCACTTCTGGATTCTTTCGTAGATTATTTTTCATAATTTCAATCTGCATGTTTTACTGTTACTAACTGTAACCATGACTATAACAATACATTTCCCTCCCTGACCTTCTACATTGTAGGCAAAATAGACCTTTTAAAAAATTAGCTAAATAATGCCATTTTTCTACTCAAATGTGTTTCCTGGTTCTCATTTCATCTGGAATGACAGCAAGGTCTAAAATGGCCTCAAGAGGCAATGTGTGGCCTGTATCTCAGAACCCCAGCTGCCACCCCACTGTCCTCACCTCATGTCCTTCTTCCATGAGCTCACTTCACTCATCTAGACAAGCTTACTAGACCTTCCTCACACACATTACACATTCAGCTCTTTCTACTTCTCTTAGGCTCACATTTAAAACACTCAATGGAAGTGACTCACATCCATCATTTATGTGCTCAGAAGCAACTTATCGGACAACCATTTCCACTCCTCAAAGCCCAGTTCGGGGACAAGCACCCAGTCTTTCACTGCTCGTTTATTTTCTGTACGGCAGTTTCTACCTTACAATATAAAGTTATGGTTGGTTATATAGTACATCTACTGAGAAGGAAAATAATGGGATGAGTAGGAACAAGGTTGATTCATGTTTTGCACAGTTGTTACCTTCAAATATTAGCATATACTAAGGCAAGTTTAAAGGCATGAAGTGATCACCTCAACTGCAGGAGGCAATCACAGGTATGGACACATTTAGAAGTGTGCAGGAAGAGGATGGAAACTATCTTACCAAGATGATAAAATACCATGGAAATGACTACGTGAGAAACTGCAATTTCATTACACAGGACACTGGGTTACCTGAGACCAAGTGTCGTCAGAATATGATTTCATATTCAGTAATTGATTTCATTTTTACATTTGGGCAAAGAATCACCAGGAAATGTGATTAAAAAAAACAATTCTGGCCCTGGCTGGTTTGGCTCAGTGGTTAGAGCGTCCGCCTGCGGTCCGGAGAGACCCGGGTTCGGTTCCCGCTAAGGGCATGTACCTCGGTTGCAGTTTGTCCCCGGCCCTGGTTGGTTGTGCGGGTGGCAGCCGCTCGATGTGTCCCTTTCACATCGATGTTTCCCTCTCTCTCTTCCTCTCTCTCCCTCCCACTCTATCTGTACAAAAAATGGAAAAATGTCCTCGGGTGGTGAGGATAAAAAAAAACAAACCAATTCTGAATTCCATTTACAGCATTATGAAAACAAAATAGCATACTGAAGGATGTACTTAAGAAAGGGAAGGGTAAAATTTTTATTCTGAAACTTACAAAGTTAAGTTGGAAAAAATTAAAGGCCGAGTTTGATAAAAGAGTACCCAGTGATTCTGGATTAAAATGTATAATATGGATAGAAAAGAATAACTATACAAAACAGAGAGATTCAATGTAATTGCTATCAAAATCCAAGTATTTTTACAGAAATTCACAAGCAGAATAAAAAATTCAAATAAAAATTAAAGAATCCAGAAGTCCAAATCATCTTCTGAAGAAAAGTAAAAGTTGGGGGCCTCAGACTTTGCAATTTCAAAACTTACTACAGGAACCAAGACCACAGTGAGAATATGTACAAATAAAATATTCCAAGAAAGATTGTGTGGATGGACGATTGATCAACCCTATGAATATATTGAAAACCAGTTCAATGTATAATTTTAACGGGTAAATTGTACGGCATGCAAAATAAATGTAAATAAAAGCATAAAAAACATGATGGGAAAACAAATTATTTGAGATAAAAAAAAATGCAGCTATAACATCTAAGAATAAAATAAAATCTGAATTGGGAAAACTAGGAAAGAAGTCATTGGAAGCAGACATAAGCTATGACTTAGTATGGCCTGGATCTCATGTAACACAGTAAGATCTTTCCTGTTCATTAAATGATGGGAGCTCAGCATGTCGGGAACACCCCAGCTGATATCAAAATGGACAGGATTTTAAATGTCTCAGGCAAGAAGAGAAACTAAATTTTCAAAAACATGGAAAAAAGATGATTCCTGCTCTCATACAGAAGGAGAAGCCGGAGTCCCACTGCCATGCTGATGAGTAAAATACATGAATGGAAAGCCTGCCTTCCTTAGACAATCTACATGGAGAGGTATTTGGGGGTCCATTTCACAGATCAGGAAGAGGTTAACTCATGGAAATGAAGAAAACATTTAACAATGATGAGAACTGAGTATGAAGAACCTTGGAACATGGGGGTGAAAAATGAAATAGATGAACCGAGAAAACCAGTTCATCAAGGGGACACAGTATCCAAGGTGAGACTGGATGTTACGGATGAAAATCACTATTTCCTAAGGAACCAGGAAAATCTAGCAGTAAAACAAAAGGTGATGAATTCAAACTTGTGCCTCTCCAGAGAGCCCAGGAAAGTGTAATTTATAGTAAGAAGGTTGGTAACACAGGCAGAGATACTGTGATTGTGGACAAAGACAGGGATGATCTGAGAACCCTAAAAGAAAGAAAACAACACAAACAAAAAACAAGATGAAAATAAAATAAGCCAGGTCAGATCTCAGAAGAGAAAAAAATGTATGCTTTTCTCTAAACTTCTACAAAACAACACGGTTTTCATCCTTGGAGGGTGGGATGAGTTTCCTCATTCATTGCCACCACTCTCACTAGAATGTGCCTTCCCAGCTGCCCACCTTGTTGAGTCTCCTTCACTCACCTGCACAGACTAGACGGAACTCATCCTGTGCTGTCCACGGTTCTTCCCCTCGTTCCAACTTGGAGAGTGCGTCTGGTTTGCTGGCTTCATACTCTGCTCAAGAATAATGACAAAAGACTTAGACATATTGAATGGGACTGCGGTCGGTCAAAGAGGGAGAATGAACATTATACCCTCCTGTCTAGGGCAAGAGAACGACCTGAGATTCCACCCCTAGAGGGGAAGGCAGTTATTCTGAAGAGTTAAACTGATGAGAAAAGAAAAACCACTAACAGGGTCATGCTGGGTGACACAGGGAGCTGTCCTCACCCACTGACTCCAGGTGGCTGAAGTTCTCCAGCATCACATCCCAGTACAGCATCTTCTGATCGGGGTCCAGGAGCTGCCACTCCTCCCAGGTGAAGTCCACGGCCACATCGTGAAATATCTGGGACTCCTGTAACAACACCATGCTGTGTACTGCAGGATGTCCTTCAGATGATATGGAAGAAATGTTTGTTTTTCTATTCATTATCACTTTATACACTGCATCTACACACCAAGTGGGGTTTTATTTTAACATACAGTTGAACAGGCACATGTCTAATAAAATGATATTTACAATTGTTCACGTAGTCATCCAGGCATTCATCCAATTAGATGTTACTATAATGTGAAGTTAAATGTTCTTGATAACCGAGAAAGATCTTTAATATATTCAAATTCATACATTTGAGAGACAGAAAAAATATATGTATATGTTCCAAATGAAGAAAGGAGGGTTTTTATAGGTATCCACAAGCACATTAAGAAAAGGAAAGAATAACACAAACTGAGCCCTGACCCATGTACACAGTGGTTAGAGCAACAGCCCGAGAGCAAAAACTCCTGTGTTTAATTTCTGGTCAAGGTCATGTATCCGGGCTGTAGTTTAGATCACAGCCCCTGCAGGGTGCTTGAGGGAGGCAAGGAATGGATGTGTGTCTCTCATATCAATGTTTCTCCATCTCTCTCCCCACTATGCATCTATCCTCCATTCCACACTCTCTAAAATCCAATGCAAAAAATATCACCTAGAAGGATTAAAAATAAAACAGTCACCTGAGCCTGCGGCATTTTCTTCTGCTCTCTGACAGGAGCTGGCAGCGGGAAAGCTCTGGCTCGCTGAGTTTCTGGTCAGCTCTAGGTTTCTGTTTAGAAATCTGTCTTCAATTAGTTCAGTCCCTGGAAATGCTGATAATCCTCCCGGGAAGTTTTCCTTGCTTCACGCTATGCAATTGCTTGTGGTGTCCATGTAAGAAATGTCCAAACCTGTAGAGAATTTTTATGTTTATTGGAGCCTAGCTGACAACAAATGTCAGGAAGCAAAATGGCAATGGATTGCATAATGCTCTGAAGAATGGCGGCTTTGCAACTTTTTTCTACATTAGAATCGAAGGAGAAGACATAGGGGATTACATGAAATGCACTGGTGATAGATTGGAGGTGGGGGGTGAGGTGAGGCAAAGCAGGGAAATCTCTGGGGTTGGAAAAACCAAAAAAAAACACCACAAAACAAACAGACACATACTTCTTCTAAATGGGCAGTTGTAGAACAGTTAGCAGTTAAAGTTTAATGAAATAACGGTAACAACTGTGTGCTCTGTGCTCTCCTACTGTGGTGGGAAGTTGTGCTACAGGGGGTCTCTAAAAGAGGAAAATTCTCTGATAGTCCAAAGGTAGGTTATCCTAGATGCAAAAAAGGACGATAGACAGGTTCAAAAGGTAAAAGACTGACCTTTGTCAGAAGAGATACCAGGGAGGACATGACTACACTTGTGACTGGCGGTTGGTTAGCAGTTCTCACTTCAGACCATCCAACAGGGAGAGTTTTGGCCTCTGGGTGGGGAAGACCGCCGAGCCCTGCAGGCGCCCCTGAGCTGTGCAGGTTCAGTACGGGGCAGCACTTCTGTCCACACCAGGGTCAGAACCCGTGGGCTCAGGAGAATATTCAACAAGGGGTACGTTTCCCCTGGGACCCGATGCTTCAGTGCTCCTGACACCAATGCTCATAGTGTCGCTGCTGTCCCTTTATCTGGTCTCCTGGAAGACTTAGCTTCCACATGTGGTGGGGATATTCCTTCACTCTTTGGAGTTAAGGGGAGTGACTGACAGAAGATGTGTGTAATGACACTACAGAGGCAGAATGTTTCCTTCTTCTTGCTAGGTTCTTTAGGGGGTCTGATGATGAAATGGATAGTACACTACGAACAGGGGAAAAACAGCCCTGGCCGGTTTGGCTCAGAGGTTAGAATGTCCACCCGCGGACCAGGGAGTCCCGGATTCATTTCCCGCTAAGGGCATGTACCTTGGTTGCAGTTTGTCCCCGGCCCTGGTTGGGGTCGTGCAGGTGGCAACCAGTCAATGTGTGTGTCTCTCTCTTCCTTCCTTTCTCCCTCCCGCTCTCTGAAAATAAAAATGCAAAGATGCCCTCAGGTGAGGATTAAAAAAAAAAAAGGGAAAACAATCAAAACATTAATAGCACGCATACCTCTTGCATACATGGAAGCAACTCAGAAACACAGAGTCATTGGCCCAAATGTCTGAAGCCATCACCTGAAATACCACCTTCACCTACAGTCAAAAGTGCTGGGGGCGGAGAGTAGTCAGGGGAGATTCTCAGGAAAAGCACAGTAAACAGGCTGAAGGATGTTATTCAGATATAAGGGCGGCTTTCTCCAGATGGTGCAAGTGGTTTTGCTAAAGTGAGGAAGACACCCTCACAGAGGACATTGTCCTCACACATGTCAACGTCCTTCTCAAGGGGTAACTTCTAATAGCTCTGCATGCTCCTCCCAGGGCTGTAGTTCCTACAAATTAAGCAGCCTACAAAAACCTATATACAGCCCTGGCCATTTTGCCTCAGTGGTTACACCGTTGGTCCACTGTCTGAGGAGTGGAGGGTTCTATTCTGGTCAAGGGCCCGAACCTCAGTTGCAGGTTGGGTCCCTGGGTCGGGGTCTTGTGGGAGGTAACCAATGGATGTTTCTCTCTTTCTCTCCTTCTCACTTTATCTGAAGATAAATGGAAAAATATCCTTAAGTGAGGATAAAAAAAAAACCCACAATATCCCAGAGAGGCATATTTGAGGGTGGCAAACTGTTGTCCTGCAGATTAAAGGAACTGAGTATTTAAAAGAGAACATTCTCACCCAGAAAATGTTGGCTGTAAGAACAGCACAACGTGTTAGACTGGCGGGGTCACAGAGGATCTAGGTTCAGCAATCTTGGTACTTGACTTCTAGTTAAAAAGAATTCAGAGGTAATGCTCAAAGGGTAACAGAAAGTTTCTTTAGAAATCACAGAGGTAGGAGAAGTGACGGGTAGGAGAAACGGCTCAGGAAACAAGTTACAGAGGTGAAAGGAGGGCCCTCCTGGTGCAGGAGAGAAAAGGGTAAAGGTAGGAGCCTGGGGGCGAGAGGAGCGGGAGGAGTTCCAAGACCTTATTTTCCTGGAGGCTTAATGCTTAAGAGCTATTATTTGTCCCTCTGGTTGGTTCACCCCCTAAGCGGGGGACTAACCCACAAGACTTCACGTACCCAGGGGAGGAAAAGTCAGGGCAGGGTCCAAACCAAATGGCCAGAAATGCTAGGGGAGAAAAGGTCACCCTTGGAGAGGCCCTTGTTTGTCTAGTTCTGTGCCATTACTAAGCACCCTGGCCTTTCTGCCCTGGAGACCTTCTGTACCTGACCTCTGGTCCTTGCTCTACTCCTGTGGGTCTAAATGCCTATGAACAAACAACTCACAGATTCTACATACACAGCTGGCTACACCTGCACCATGTCCCTCACCTCATTGCATAGTAATTCAAATGTAACCGCACAAGGAATGGGTCCGGGCACCTCGGTGTCAGCACTTGAGCCAATGAAGCAGAGACGAGGTGGAATCCTATGAGAGCGTTTAATTCCAACACTGCGGCGTATGGGAGAGCAGTAACCCTCTCTACAACTTTCACAACCCTTCTTTACCCATTCAGAAATAACCAGTTTTACAACTTTCGTTTTCAAAAATAAGTATCTCCATAGCCTACAACTGCAATCATGGAAATCATTCAGTTTCTTTCCAACAACTTAACATTCTTTACTCTTAGTTATCTGACCACTAAAAAAGGAAGTAACACCTTCAAATCTATTCTATAGCTTTTTGTAAAACGGCCCAAAGAAGGTTTACTTAAACTTGTTGTCCAGCCAGTGTGGCCCAGTGGTTGAGTGTCGATCCATGTACCAACAAGTCGCCTGTTTGATTCTCAGTCAGGGCACATGCCCAGCTTCTGGGCCAAATCCCCAATGGGGGGCATGGAGGAGGTTTCTGTGTGTGTGTGTGTGTGTGTGTGTGTGTGTGTCTCAAATCAGTAAAGAAAAAATAAAAAGACTTGTATAGCAATCAATGCGTAACAGCTAAAATAAATTAATTGATCTACTCAGATAGCTAAGGCTTTTCCTTTCTATAAGGGAAACTTGCATTTTAAAACATGCCTCCAATTTGATTGCTTAAAGCTTCCCTAGGACATTGGTTTCATAAAGCCAATTATTTATCAGTCTTGAACTGAATAGGGAAGGCTTGGAGGACGATAAAAGAATTTGGTGGGCTCCAATAGCTTCTGGAGCCACATCTCTGGCCCTGTGACAGTCATTCTTAATTATCTTAAGGATTGGCAAATTTATTAATACATTTCATAACTTTCAGAAACTAGGTGTTTTCTTTTCCCATTGGAAAATACATTTACATTTCCAAGAGACATTTTTCATATGAGATAGTCACTGACAGATCTAAATCCATCCTCTGGCTTCTCTGTAACAAAAAGCCAAGAGTAGGCAAACTGAGATGAATTAACATGTTAGTATCCTTTATTTTAAAATAAGTATAAATATTTAACATTTTACATTTATTCTTTTATTTTTAGGGAAAGAGGTTTATTTTTTTTTATTTTTTATTTTTTGTTCAGAGAGAGTCAGGAGAGAGGAAGAGAGAGAGAAACATCAATGTGAAACGGACACATCGAGTGGTTGCCACCTGCACGACCCAACCAGGGCCGGGGACAAACTGCAACCGAGGTACGTGCCCTTAGCAAGAACCTAACCCGAGTCTCTCTGGATCACAGGCTGACACTCTAACCGCTGAGCCAAACCGGCCAGGGCGAAAACTATCTTCTTTTCTCTTACTTTCACTCTTTCAAAAACATGGGACTTTTTCCAGACCCTTGTGATGCAAACACGGTGCAGGCTAAGTTGCTTTCAGTGAGCCAACACAGTGCTCACAGTGGACGTATCCCAGGGAGGGCTTCCCAACATGGGTACAGATCTTCCCTGGTGCTGGGGCAAGGCTCCTGGGTTGGAATCCAGCCTCTTGGATTGGTCGCACTTCTCTTATGGGACTTGGAGAACCTACTTCATTTGTCTAATAGTGGAGGTTCCCGGCAATCTGCTATTCGTTTTCAATTCTGAGATTTTGTGAGAATTATAGGTGAAAAATCTCAAAAGTGTAACTAACCCTGGCAAACTGGCACTGAGGAGTTCTGTGTGTTCCTTTTATTGATCCTCAGAGAACAAGGAAAGAACATCCTCGCCTGCATGTCACATTCAGCCGGCTGACACTCAGCTCCATGGAGTTGCCTGCACATTCCCTGGTGGGGACCGCTTATGAAGAAGACCTCAGTAGCCACAGCACCTGCCTTGCAGCAGGTGAATCAGTGGGTTCTGAAAAATCCCATTTCTTTTTTCAAAAACAACAAAAAGCACGGAACCTTGTCAGTACTTTAGGTGACAGCTGCCTGGCCTGAGAATATCTCTGCACGCAGAGGCGGGAGCTGCTGGAGCCCAGGCAGGCGACAGTCATGGCTGTCACTCTGCCAACCAGCACCTTTGCTCTTGACCTCCAACAGCTCAGGGATGAAGACATATCTTATATCCATTTTACACAGGAGAAAAATGAGTTCCCCACCCCTAAGGGGTCATTTGCTTGTGATTCCTAATGAAATTCACAATCTAGATTCAAATCTGAGGTGCCTGTCCCAAGGCATGAGAATCTGATCACTCTTCTCTTATTTCCCCTTGCTCGGAGCTTTGGGACTCCACATCCCTGCCCATACTGAGAGTGCAGACCCAAACCAAGGAGCCCCATTACAGCAGATCTTACAATGGGACACTACCAAAGCAAGAGCTTGTTGTATCTTCAAAAGTCTGTACTTGTCCATTACATTGTGTACGGCATAAAAAACTGAAAACTATTAGAACTTATAACAATATAAAGAACGTTTATTCCATACAGCAAAAAAAGTCACACAACAATCAAAATTCAAAGAAGCACCTTTGCTGTTTCATGGTCTTTATTTAAAAGAAAATTGAGCCCAGCTGGTGTGGCTCAGTGGTTGAGCATCAGCCCATGCTCCAAGAGGTCACCAGTTTAATTCCTGGTCAGGGCACATGCCCGGGTTGTGGGGCTGATCCCCAGTGGGGGGCATGCAGGAGGCAGCCAATCAGTGTTCTCTCTCATTGATGTTTTTTTCTCTCTCTCTCCTCCCTTCCTCTCTCTCTAAAATCAATAAAGAAAAAAATTTAAAAAATAAAAGAAAATTGACAACATTCATAGCATTAGGCAGAACATGATCTGGCATTTCATCAAAATACATTGATAGCAAATATACATCTGAAGAAATGCTAATCATGAAGGATACTGATGAACAGCTAGGTAGAGAGATACATTGTGTGAGGTCTGGGAACTTCCTATGGACAAGAGCTTCTGACCCCAAGAAGTTAGGGTGCAGCGCATTCTTCATACCTGGATGTGTTCACACACCTGCAAGCTCATCAAAACCCTTTTATTAGATTCTTTACAGAGGCTTCCCAAAGCAGGCTTGACTCATCATTACCTTTTTCCAGACCCTTGCCTGCTCTGGATGTGTGAAGTTGAAAATTCCAACCGTGATCCCCTCAATACAACAAAGATGCTTTACGTGCTGTTATCACTAAGGAATTTCCCAGATCGCACAAAATCAACTATTCAGAATCAAGAGTACATGCTAAATGACTTCATTTTTTAATATTCTATAAATGACAAAAATATATATAAAAGAACGTGATGCCCAGATTGAAGGTCAGGAAAAAGATTTAACTTATGAAAGGCTAGGAAGAATTCTGTGTACAAGGAAAATCCTGCATTTCCATAGCGGTTTTGGTTACAAGAACCTACATATGTGATAACCTTTTTTTTTTTTTTGGTACATGCCCCTAGCGGGAACCAAACTCAGGACTCTCTGGTCCACAGGCCGACGCTCCAACCGCTGAGCCAAACTGACCAGGGAGTGTGATACCCTTTCTTAACGTTATATTGAAAAAGCAAACAAGAACAAGTCCTTGTTAAAACAGGACGGACCAATATATCCTGTAGTGAACTTCACTGTTCAATTTCTTTATTCTATTTGACATTCTACTGTGACCTTATAAGATTTTACCTTTGGGAGTAGCTATGGGAACAGCATTAAGAAACTTGTAGAAAATTTCAGGTTGTGGGATTTTAAACTTTTTACAAAGCTGAAAATTAATGAAAACATCATACACATTAATTTTATAAACTATTCAATGCTTTTTATAAACTTGGTTAAGCACAACCAAATGTTTTTATATTTATGAAATGAGTAGATTCCATTTCATTTTCAAGAACTTCAAGTATTCTGAAATAATACAAACTTGAAACTAAAGAAATGTAAAAATTACTACTGGGGAAGGCAGGATAAGGAGAAGGGGATCTGGGGGGTAAGGAGAAACATCTGTAACAAAAATAAATTAATAAAAATTGAAAAATAAAAATAAAACAAAACTCAATAAAAAAAATATCCTCATGTGAGGATTAATGCTCAACCTGCAAATATCAACTTTTTTCTGACACTAGTCTAGTTGATTAGAAAGTTTATTATTTGTAAGAATAAAGAAGTACGGCCCTGGCCAGTTTGGCTCAGCAGTTAGACTGTTGGCCTGTGGTCCCGAGAGACCCGGGTTCAGTTCCCATTAAGTGCATGTATCTCGGTTGCAGTTTGTCCCCAGCCCTGGTTGGGTCGTGCAGGTGGCAGCCACTCGATGTGTCCCTTTCACATCAATGTTTTTCTCTATCTTCCTCTCGTTCCCTTCCACTCTATCTGAACAAAAAAATGAAAAAATGTCCTTGGGTGAGGATTAAAGAAAAAAGAAAAAGTAGGAGGAATCAGGCAAATTTTTTATTAATTAAAAAAAATTCCTACATAATGAAATAGGTACAGTACACAGTTGTGGTGTTCATATTAAAATGTAATCCATAAAGGGAGTAACTGCCACTATTTAAAACTTATAAAATCAATGGCAAGTAGAAATATGGTGAAAGTATCTTGTTCCCAGTGGTTTGTAAGGTGTATCATGTGTTCAGACATGTGATAGAATGCTTTGTTATTCAAGGCTTATTTCCTTCATAGAGGTATCTGAGGTTTTGCTAAAGATCCCACAATTGAGCCCTGGGGATTTGGCTCAGTGGGTAGACCTTCGACCTACGGACCAGAGTCTCAGGTTGGATTCCAGTCAAGGGCATGTACCTCAGCTGTGGTTCAGTCCTTGGCCCTGGTGGTGGTTGTGCAGGGGCAGCCAATCAATATGTCTCCTTTATCAATGTTTCTCTCTCTCTCTCTCTCTCTCTCTCTCTCTGCCACTCTATCTGAAAATACATAGAAAAATATCGAGGGTTAAAAAAAAAAAAAAAAAAGACCACACAATTGAATGTGTTCATAAGCAGTTTCTCATGAATTTATTGACAAATAATGAGGAAACATAAATGCCTGAAAACCATGTCATATTTACTGCCAGCGAAAAGTATTTAGAGTGGAAAGTGACATCTACAATTAAGGAGATGCTTTCTTACAATTAGAAGTAATAATTCATTCATGCTCCTTCAAGATTAAATGACAGAGTCTACGTCCACTGAAGGGTTCTCAAGACAATCACATTTATAGGGTTTACCTCGAGAAACAATTTTCAGACATACAATGTCCTCAAATATCTTCATCAAGGCTGACTGTATATGAGTTGTTCTATAAATGTTTTTCATTGATATAAAATACAACATAGTTGATCAATAAACACAGTACTGCATTCTTTGCATGAAGTTATTCTTCTTTCCACACTATTACCTTGAGGGACTACTATGTGCAACGGGCTTACCCCAAAGTGAAAACTTGTGATTACTCTTGTTTCAGAAAGATTGCCAAGTAGTACAAAGCTTTCCACAAGGGCCCATTCCTGTAGGTTTTCTCTGAGAAACACTGAGTCCTGATGTTGTAGTGAAGGCTTTCCCACATTCATCCCATTCATAGGGTTTCTCTCCTCTGTACATTCTCTGCTGAGTAATGAGATCATTTTTGGGTAATGAGAACTTTCTACATTCAGTATATGCAAAGGAAGTCTTTCCAGAGCAAAATCTCTCATGTTATGGGGGCATGCTTCGTTTCTAAAGCCTTCACCATATTCACAACATCTGTTCAAATTTTCTGTACTATGAGCTTGCTGAAGTATACCCAAAGTACTCTTCATGGTGAAGCCCCTTCCACGTGCATTGCAATTATATGACTTCTCTGAATATATATTCAGAGTTGCAATAAGCATGCTTTTCCCAATTACCTCAGCCAAGTTCCTGTGTGTTTTCACTGATGTGTGATGACATGATCCTCAGCTTTGAAACCTTTCCCACATTCACTAGAGATGCAAGTTTTCTCTCCTGTATGAGTCCGTTCATGTACAACCAGTCGTGCCTTCACTGGGAAGCATTTTCCACATTCACTGCATACAAAGTATTGCTGTCCTGTGGGAAATTGCTCATGCATATTCAGATAGTCCTTCCTGGTGAAATCTTGACTGCATTTAGTACGGAAATAAAGTTTCTCTCCTGTATGAGTCCACTGGTGTAAAACAAGCTTGTTCTTCACTGGAAAGTCTTTTCCACATTTCCTGCAGATATCAGGTTTCTCTCCTGATTGCTGATGAAGAATCAGATGGCTCTTTCTGATGAAACCATTCCAGCAGTCACTACAGATATAAGATTTTTCTCCTGCATGAGTCCACTGATGTAAAACCAGTTGTGCCTTCACTGGGAAGGCTTTTCCACATTCACTGCATACAGAGGTTTCTCTCTTATGTGAGATCACAGATATACATTTAAAGATTTCAATAGGATGAAACCTTTCACACATTAACTACAGATATAAGGTTTCTCTTCTGTATGAATTCACGGATGTTCAATCAGTGATCTCTTTCTGATGAATTGTTTCACACATTCACTGTCCATACACAGTTTCTCGGAAGAAAAACTTTGCTGATGTGAAATGAGATCACCTTTCATTGTGAAGCCTTTCCCACATACACTACACACATAGGGCTTCTCACATGTGTGTTTTCGCTGATGTGCAATCAGACGATGCTTTGCTTTGAAATCTTTCCCACATTCACTACATTTAAAACGTTTCTCTCCTGTATGAGTTCCTTGATGTAAAACCAGCCTGCTCTTCGCTGGGAATGCTTTTCCACATTCACTGCATACATAGGGATTCTCTCCAGTGTGAGATCGCTGATGTACAACGAGACAGGTCTTCCTAGTGTAACCTTTCCCACATTCACTACAGATATAAGGTTTCTCTGCTGTGTGAGATCGCTGATGTACATTCAGACAGCTCTTCGTGATGAAACCTTTCCCACATTCACTACAGATATAAGGTTTCTCTCCTGTATGAGTCCGTTGATGTACAACAAGCTTGTCTTTCACTGGGAAGCCTTTTCCACATTCACTGCATACAAAGGGTTTCTCTCCTGTGTGAGATCGCTGATGTACATTAAGAGATTTCTTCACGATGAAACCTTTCCCACATTCACTACAAATATAAGGTTTCTCTCCTGTATGAAATCGCTGATGTACAATCAGACAGCTCTTTGTGGCGAAACCTTTCCCACATTCACTACAGATATAAGGTTTCTCTCCTGTATGAGTCCGCTGATGTACAACAAGCTTGTCCTTCACTGGGAAGCCTTTTCCACATTCACTGCATACGAAGGGTTTCTCTCCTGTGTGAGATCGCTGATGTACATTCAGAGATTTCTTCACGATGAAACCTTTCCCACATTCACTACAGATAAATGGTTTCTCTCCTGTATGAAATCGCTGATGTTCAATCAGCGTTCTCTTTCTGGTGAAATGTTTCCCACATTGATTGCACATATATGGTTTCTCTGAAGAATGAGTTTGCTGATGTGAAATGAGATCACCTTTCATTCTGAAGCCTTTCCCACATACACTACATACGTAGGGCTTCTCACCTGTGTGTTTCCGCTGATGTGCGATCAGACGATGCTTTGCTTTGAAATCTTTCCCACACTCACTACATTTGTAACGTTTCTCTCCTGTATGAGTCCCTTGATGTAAAACCAGCCTGCTCTTTGCTGGGAAGGCTTTTCCACATTCACTGCATACATAGGGATTCTCTCCTGTGTGAGATCGCTGATGTACAATAAGACAGGTCTTCCTGGTATAACCTTTCCCACATTCATTACAGATATAAGGTTTCTCTGCTGTGTGAGATCGCTGATGTACATTCAGACAGCTCTTCGTGATGAAACCTTTCCCACATTCACTACAGATATAAGGTTTCTCTCCTGTATGAGTCCGTTGATGTACAACAAGCTTGTCCTTCACTGGGAAGCCTCTTCCACATTCACTGCATACAAAGGGTTTCTCTCCAGTGTGAGATCGCTGATGTACAATTAGACAGCTCTTCCTGGTGAAACCTTTACTGCATTCACTGCAGATATAAGGTTTCTCTCCTATAGGAGTCAGTTCAGGTAAAACAAACTTGGCCTTCACTGGGAAGTCTTTTCCACAATCACCACAGATATAAGTTTTCTCTCCTGCACAAAATTGCTGATTTTCAAGCAGCGATCGCTTTAATGTGAAGAGTTTCCCACATTTATTGCACATATGTTTCACTGAAGAATGAGTTTCCTGATGTGAAATGAGATCGCCTTTCATTGTGAAGCCTTTCCCACATACACTACATACATAGGGCTTCTCACCTGTGTGTTTTCGCTGATGTGCAATCAGATGATACTTTGCATTGAAATCCTTCCCACATTCACCACAGATATAAGGTTTCTCTCTTGTATGAGTTCGTTGATGTAAAACCAGCTTGCCCTTTGCGGGGAAGGCTTTTCTACATAGACTGCATACATAGGGATTCTCTCCTGTGTGAGATCGGTGATGTATAGTCAGACAGCTCTTCCTGGTGAAACCTTTACCACATTCACTACAGATATAAGGTTTCTCTCCTGTGTGAGATCTCTGATGTATAATCAGACAGCTTTTCCTGGTGTAACTTTTCCCACATTCACTACAGACATAAGGTTTTTCTCCTGTATGAATCCGTTGATGTAAAAGAAGCTTGTTCTTTACTGGGAAGCCTTTTCCACATTCACTGCATACAAAGGGTTTCTCTCCTGACCCAGTAAGGATGTCCTGCCCTAACTCCCCGCAGGTAAAATGCTTCTGGGACACAATGAAATCGAAGCCATTTGCAAATGAGATTCTGTCCACACTTATGAAAGGCTTCTCTCCCACATGCTGCTCTTGGTGCTGGTGAAATTTTGCACTAAAATAAAATTGTTTTGCACAGGCCCCACACCTCAATAGTATCTGCCTGGGTTCTGTTTCCTGCAGCTCAATCAAGTGGAAAATTTTTCTCAAGACTAATCCACAACTCTCACAGGGGTGGCTCTTCTGGGAAGACAAAGCTAACTTGGAATTCCTTGCCTCTGATACTCTTATAAAAACATTCTGTTCAATCAGTGCCTCCACATCCTCTGCTCCACAGCAGCAACCTGAACAAAAGGAAATGCAGGTGAAGTACATGTTGACTTTATTAAAAAGAATATCTTCATCACAAATGTTTTTCTGTCATAGCTAGGCATAACTCTATAGAGTGATTTTCAAGACAGGTAAGTTAGAATTTTAGAAAATGGCTGTTACGCATTACTTGGTCCCAAAATTCAGTTAATGGTGGAAATATCACCGAGGGAGGGACAAAAACATAGGGTGGGACACAAAGAAGAGAGGTAGGAGAAACAACTGTTCCTCCACAAATGGCTTCCTGTAGGACCTTTCATGATGGTGATATGAGTCTGTGTAGAATGACTTAAATGTGCTCAAACCCATAAAAATCAACTGTATTAGAGCATATGATTTTCAAGTTCCATATAATATGTGCACACTCTAAGGCTCTGCAGGCATGGTCAAAGGTTGGAGTGCAGGAAAAAGAGACCTGTAGAAAAAAATGATGCTCCAGCCAGTGTAGCTCAGTGGTTGAGCATCGACCCATGCATCAAGAGGTCGCTGGTTAGATTTCTGGTCAGGACACATGCCCAAGTTGTGGGCCCAATCCTCAGTGGGGAGCATGTAGGAGGTGGTCAATTGATGTTCCCTCTCATCAATGTTTCTATCACTCTCTCCCTCTCACTTCCTCTCTCTCTCAAATCAATAAAGGGGAAAAACAAAACAAAACAAAAGAAATGGTGGAGATGCAAAGTTTAGAGATGTTAGGTTATCCACAGGCTGGGAATCTAAAGGAGAAATAAGAACCAATCAAACTGAGTATTGGCAAAGTGTCAATTAGCAAGAACAAATAGAAAAGGGTGAGAAATTGGCAGTGAAATCAAAGCACGGTTGAATAAGATGGGTTCCTAGTTATGAGTTACCAAAGCCCTGGAGTCAAAAGCTCCCCCACAGCCCTTCACCAAGTCAAGACTACCTCTAGGTCTACCCTGTCATTCATAGAGTCAAGTTTGTTCTGTGATTCACAAATGATTCGTCCGTGTAAATCCTAGTGGAGTCATTACATGGAATACAGAAGACACAAATCTGGAAAGAAGAACTAAAGAAATGGATGGCAGCACTGTGGTAGAACAACAAAGCATGAAAGAAATCAAAGGAAAAAGATCTACGTGAGTGACATCAGCAAGATGCCAAAGTAAGATACACAAGAATTCTTACCACTCCCAGAAAGTATAGACAGCAATCCATAAACAAAAAGAGAAGCATATGAAGGCAATAAGAGTACAATTAAGACAAAAAGCAATGCAGAAGAACAAAAAGGGGAGAATTGCCACACACACACAAAACAAAAAACAAAAAGATGACTAAAAAAAGTAGGTTACCAGATATATTTAAAGATCACTAGGGTCAAAAATAAGGGTCAGAGTTACCTCTATCAACCACTGCGCTTGTACTAATGTTGATGTTAGTGGCTGTCCTGTGAAAAATCACTGTGAACTTCCTACAATAATACTAAGTAGAAACACATATACATAGGAAAGTATAAATCTTACTAGTAAAGGTGAGAACAGAATCAAATTCACAATACTGTAACACTGCATTGGTGGAATATGTATTTAGTAACTCTATTAAAAAGCTTAAAAGTTAAAACAACTAAAAATGACAAAGCTAGCATTATGTACCTTAATAGATACACAGTATAAAAATATGTGAATCGTGGCACTAAAAATATATAAAAGGGTGTGTGGTGCAAAGTCAAAGGGTAGAATATTTATACACAATTACCAAGAGAAAATAGACTGGTAAAGAGTATGACTCATCTTATGTAAGTCTCTTGGAAGTCACAAACAAACACTATGTAATAGATATACAAAAAATAAAGGAGGCAAACTGCTATACAAAATCATCATATCACAGAGGACAATCACAGGACAAGAAGAGAAACAAAACCCAGAAACCAATAAAGAAATGGCAATAGTAGTTCCTTAAACAAATTCTTCAATCAGGAGACAGAGTGACTGTAGGAATAAAACAAACAAAAAACAGATGCAATATATGCTACCTACAAGAGACACTAAACCTCTAGGAATACAAATTGGCTGAAAATAAAAAGATGCAAAATATTATCCAGGCAAATTAAAACAAAAGAAGGCAGGAGTACCTAAAATTCATTCAGACAAAACACACTGCCTCAAAAACTCACAAGAAACAAAGGTTGCCCTAGTCGGTTTGGCTCACTGGTTACAGCATTAGCCCATGGACTAACTAGTCACGGGTTCAATTCCAGTCAGAGCACAGACCTGGGTTGTGCTTCGTCCCTGGCCCTGGTTGAGCCGTGCAGGAGGCAACCAGTCAATGTGTCTCTCCTTCATTGTTATTTTCCTCTCTCCCTCCCACTGTATCTGATGATGAATGAAAAAATATCCTAGAGTGAGGATTAAAAAATTAAAAAATAAATAATGAACGAACAAATAAAATAAAACTTCCTTCCTGGTTTTTTAAAAAAAAAGAAGCAAAGATCATCATAAAATGATAAATAAATCTGTTCATCAAGATGATCAAAATTTTAAGTATTATGTATCAAACAAGAGAGCAACTAAGTACATTAAGCAAATAATATCAGATCTATAAACAGGAAAAAAACAATATTGGTAGGCAAATTCAACATTGCTGGCAAACCTTTAGCAAGACTAAAACAAAAGACAGAAGACTCAAATAAATTTTCTTAAAAATGAAAGATAAGACATTACATCTGACGATATGAACCATAATGCATCATAAGAGATGTTGGTAGATGAAATGACCCTACATAGAGGAAACTGTTAAGATACCACCATAAACTTCTGAAATTAATAAAGGAGTTCAGAACCCTGGTTTGGTGGCTCAGTTGCTGAGAGGGTGGTTCTGATGGACCTAGACTGTGAGTTTGATTCTCCGTCAGGGAACATGCAGGGGGAAGCCAATGGGTGAAATAGCAGATCAGTGCTTCTCTCTCTCTCTCTTTCACTTCCTGTTGAAAAGCAATAAATTAAAAAATTTAGCCCTGGCTGGTTTGGCTCAGCGGTTAGAGCATCACCCGTGGTCCAGAGAGACCCGGGTTCGGTTCCCGCTAAGGGCGCATACCTCGGTTGCAGTTTGTCCCCAGCCCTGGTTGGTTGTGTGGGTGGTAGTCACTTGATGTGTCCCTTTCACGTCAGTGTTTCTCTCTCTCTCTTCTTTTCTCTCCCTCCCACTCTACCAGAACAAAAAATGGAAAAATGTCCTCGGGTGAGGATAAAAAAAAAATTTTTAAGAATAATAAATTCAGAAAAGTTACAGGATACAAAATCAACACACTAACATCACTTCCATTGCTAAACAACAACAGTAATATCTTTGATAGAGAAATGAAAAAGGTAGTCACATTTATAATAGCATCCAAAACAATGAAATAGAAATAAATTCAAAAAGGTGAAACATCTCTACATTGGGCACTACAAGACACTGATGAAAGACATCACAAATACCAATCAGAAAGAATATATGTATCCCCATGTTCATAGCAGCACTATTTACAATAGCTAAGATCTGGAAACAACCCAAGTGTCCATTAGTAGATGAGTGAATTAAAAAGCTGTGATACATGTGCACCATGGAATACTATGCAGCTATATGAGTTGGCATGGAAAGACCTGGAAAGTATTATGCTAAGCAAAACAAGCCAAGCAGAAAAAGACAAATATCACATGATCTCACTTACTTGTAGAATATAATGAACTAAACAAACAGCTGAACAAAATTAACCCAGAGTCATAGAGGTGGGGTATAGAAGCCACAGAGGAGGAAGGGTTTGTGGGGGGAAAGATAAACCACAGAACTTACATGCATATATGCATGACCAATGAACATAGACAACAAAGCTGGGGATGGGGTGGGGGGGGGAGCGAGTACGGTGTCGATGGGGAAAAACTGATAAACATCTGTAACAAAAACAAAATACATAAAAAATTTTTTAAAAAGAAAGACATCACAAACAAGTGGAAAGATATTCTGTGGTTTGAATTTGAAATGTTAATATCATTAAAATGTCTATACCACCCCAAAACAATCTACAGATTAAATGGAATCCCAGTGATACCTTCCATTGTATTATACAAAGAAATGAAAAGAGAATCTTGAAATGTGTGGCACCTCAAAGACCTCCTTTAGCAAAAGCAATCTTGAGCAAGAACAAACCTGGTGGTATCACACTTCCTGACTTCAATCTATTACAAAGCCAAAGCAACCAAAGTGTTTTTGGAATAAACACAGAAACATAAACCAACAGAGCTGAACAGAGAACACAGAAATAAACCCACCCACACATCTTCAAGCACTCTTTGACAGAAACTGCAAGCCCTGGCCAATTTGGCTCAGCCGTTAGAGGGCTGGCCAGTTGACCAGAGAGACCAAGGTTCGGTTCCTGCAAAGGGGAAGGAACCTCAGATGCACTTTGTCCCCGGCCCCAAATGGGGTTTTGTGAGTGACAACCAGTCGATGTGTCTCTCTCACATCGATGTTTCTCTCTCTCTCTCTTCCTCCCTCTCTCCATCCCACTCCATCTGAAGATAAATGCAAAAATGTCCTCAGGTGAGGATTAAAAAAAAAAACTTGCAAGACATAAAAGAAAGAAAGAATAGTTTCTTCAATGAATGGTACTGAAAAAATAGTCATGTAAAACTACAAAACAAGACACCATTGATTAAAATGAACTCAAACTGTAAGAAAGAATTAAATGTCAGGGTTAAATCGAAAAACACCTTCAAGATAACCTACAAAAAAAGCTTTGGAGATTTGTTTTAGAAATGGTTTTCTGGATGTGACACCAATCACCAGACAAAAAAATATATATATATACACAATCCGGACTACAACAAATAAAAAAGCTTTTTCATAGCACAACAGCAATGAACAAAAGGAAAAGGATCTACAGGATGGGAGAAAATATTTGCAAATCATACAAACGTATCAGTTGGAGATATTGCAGTCTGTTCAGAGCAGCAAAATAAAGCAAAAGCACAATTTAGAAAGTAAGTCACACAAATATTTTGAATTCCCAGTGAACAAAAAAGGTATGTTAACATTATACTCCAGTGTAATAATAACCCAACACCTCTGTCTAAAAAAACTCTACATAGCATAATTAAAAATACTGTATCAGCCCTGGATGTTTCGGCTTAGTGGTTAGAGTGTCAACCCAGGGACCAAAGAGTCTCGGGTTCGATTCCCAGTCAAGGGCATTAACCTCGGTTGCTGAAACAATACCCCGCTCTGGACTGGGTCGGGTGGAAGGCAACCAAATGATGGGTCTCTCTCACATAAATGTTTCTCTCTCTCTCTCTTTCCCTCCCTCTCTCTCCCCCTATCCCCCCCTTCGACTCTCCCCTACAAAAAAGAAAAAACTCAATGGAAAAAATATCCCAAGGCGAGGATTTAAAAAACAACCTGGCTCTGGCTGGTTTGGCTCAGCGGTTGGAGCGTCGGCCTGCGGTACAGAGAGACCCGGGTTCGGTTCCCGCTAAGGGCACGCACCTTAGTTGCAGTTTGTCCCCGGCTCTGGTTGGTCGTGCGGGTGGCAGCCACTCGATGTGTCCCTTCACGTCGATGTTTCTCTCTCTCTCTCTCTTCCTCTCTCTCTCTTCCTCTCTCTCCCTCCTGCTCTATCTGAACAAAAAACGGAAAAATGTCCTCAGGTGAGGATAAAAAAAAAACATCCTGGCCGGTGTGGCTCAGTGGTTGAGCGTACAGCATGCACCAAGAGGTCACAGGTTCAGTTCCTGGTCAGGACACATGCCCAGGTTATGGGCCAAATCCCCAATGGGGGGCATGCTGGAGAGGGCCAATCGATGTTCTCTCTCATTCATGTTTCTAGTTCTCCTACTCCCTTCCTCTCTCTAAAAAAAAAATAAAGAAAAAAAATATTTTTTAAATAAACAACAAAAAAAACCACACACACATAAGCATGTAGAGACAATTCTCAAAAAAAAAAATTGTGTACAAATAGCGAACAAGAATATAAAAAATGCTTTGCTTACTAATCAAGGTATAATTCAGTAGACTCCCTGCATACATCCATCCCTATGAGTTCCTGATAACAGGTATTGGGCCTGCAGGGAGAGAAGCCAGTAGTGCAAACAAACCAGCCCTTCCGAGGACAGCAACTACCCAGAAAATGAGAAATCAAGCAGTGTCACAGTCCACATGTGAGGACAGAGTGCATCCCAGGAAAAGGGGTATGGGAAAATGCAAAGCCAGGCCAGGTAAGTGGCGAGAGTTAGGGTCTTACCCAATGAGCATATGAGTTCAAAGTTCTCCAGCATCACATTCAGGTACAGGCGTCTCTGACTCTCATCAAGGAGGCTCCATTCCTTCCTGGAGAAGTACAGGGCAATGTCCTCAAAGGTCACACCAACCTGTCAGATTTGAGGCAATGGAAACCAGAGCAGTCTCTCTGACAAACAACAATCCTACTCCTGACACATCTTCCCCAGCTCAACCTCCTCCAGGGCTCCCCAGTCTAGTGAGAACACGGGGTCGGGGTCCTCATGCTAGTGTTGGCTGCTCTCATCACAGTCCCATTAATGCCAGTTACCGCCCTCAGCAACAGCAGCTGGGTAGGGTGGATGGGGGCGGGGGAGGCGGACAACATACAAATGCCCCCTAAGCTCCGGGACATCCCTGCACAGCCCCGTCCTTCCTGCCCAGCAGGACCACTGCAGCCTCCCACATCACGCCTCCCAGACAAGCCAAACCTGGGCTCATGCTTCACCCTCACGTCCCCACACCAGGCCCCAGGACCCTCCGCTCACACTCCCTCTGGCTGTGCGCACCACTGTGTCAGGTCTACCTCCTCCCCGTCTTCAGACCCCGGCTCCCTTCCTGCTCCATCCCACGGGGAGCCGGACCCAGCACGACCCCCGTCCTCTGAGGGACCCCACAGCCCGGAGAGCCGGGATGAGGCTGTGCCGCCCGCCCTGCCTCTGATCCTGCTTCAATACAGATCCGCACGGCAATTTCGGACACAAGGAGCCCGTCCCCTCCGCACGGTGCCTGCCGTGTCCTCAGAAGACAACACTCCGTGCCCTCGGCCTTCCCCACGGCCCTCCACCCGGGACTCCGCTGCGGGACGTGACGGGCGCCCGCACCCGGGCTGTGCGGTTCAGGCCGGAGGCTGCGGACGCGCACTCACCTCAGCCGGGAGCCTCGGCGGGGCCGCCGCCATCGGACCCTGCGGGCGGGGCGGGGCTGCGGTCCAGGACGCCCCGGGCAGGGCCCACTTCGTGCGGGTCTGGAGCGAGTCACCCGGGCGGCGTCTTCCAGGCTCAGACCATTGGCTGTGTGGGGGGAACACCGCTCTGTCCTTCCGAAGCTCAGGACCGCCCGCTACAAACCAAGAGAAGAGGAAACCCCGGCCAGGAGCCCCACCGAAGTCCCGCCCCACAGAGGTGTCCAAACGGAAAAGCCTCTCCTGAGCCTTCATTGGCGCAGCCAGTGGCATTCCACGCCGGGCCTTCTGGGTAATGTAGTTTCTGCAGCCCAAGGCTGGATTCTGTATTTCCTCAGCGGACTCCAGGAGTGGATTTGGGGAGTTAAAGCCCAAGAATACACCAAGTATGCTAAACCCTCTAGTGCCTTCAGTGGCGGTCATTTCACGGACAAATCTGTGTCTAGGCACCTACGTGTCTTCCCTTCGCCTCCAGTTTTGCATGTATTTCTCCAGGTTCTGCTGTTCTTGATCCGCAGGCATCGTTTCTTCATTCAGGTCACCTGCCTCTGGATCTTTCCGGCTGAATGTACCTGGTGGAGGTTGCTCAAGTCTAACACGACCTTGCTTGCCCTACTTGGTTCCACTATACAAAGTTAATGTTACAAAACACAATAATACTTAAGAGTGTCTGCTCATGACGCAATCAGCTCTGCCAGCTCAGTCGACTTGTTGGAGTCAATCAGGATTTGATGTGATGCCTCTGGTTCTAATTATACATTCATTGCAAACAAGGAGAACACGTTGAAGACATAAAAGACATGCCATTCCATCAGAGAACGCGGGTTTGGTTCCAGACCATCCAAGCGAATACGTCAATAAATATAGCCACAAGAATTTTTTGGCTTCCCAGTACATATAAAATTTATGTGTACTCTAGATTACTGTAGTCTATTAAGTGTGCCAAAATTATGCCAAGATATCAGGTACATACCATAATTGTAAAATACTGTTTTTTTTATTAATACTCAGTCAAGGATATTTTTTCCATTGGTTGCCTCCTGCACGCACTCCACCAGGGATGGAACCCAAACCTGGGTATGTGCCCTGAGGGAATCGAACACCTGACCCTTAGGTGCACAGGCCAAAGGCTCTCACCACTGACTGGCATACACTGACCAGGGCATCTCTCTTTTAAAATAATAATAATAATAATAATAATAATAATAATAATAAATCGTAATAATAAATCAAACTATTTTTTTTAAAGAAAGAAAAAAAGATACTGATGAGTGATGAGAGGAGCTCTAGCCAATATGGCTTACTGGTGAGAGCATTCCCCTCTGCACCTAAGGGTCACGTGTATGATTCCCAGTCAGGGCTAATACCCAGGTTGTTTGTTTGTTTTTTTTCATCCTCACCTGAGGACATTTTTACCTTTATCTTCAGATGGGGCAGGAGGGAGAGAGGGGGGAAGAGAGAGAAAGAAACATCGATGTGAGAGGACACATCTACTGGTTGCCACCTACAGGACCCAACTGTATGTCATGAACATACATTAATAACAAATACACATCTAAACAAATAATAATCATGAAAAATACCATTGAATGGGCAAATTAAGAGATACACTGAGCAAGGTCTGGGAACTTTCCATGCACAGGAGCTTCTGTCCCCATGAAGTTAGGGTGCAGTGCTTTCTTCATACCTGGATGTGTTCACACATCTGCAAGCTCATCAAACCCTTTTACTAGGTTGTTTATAGACTCTTCCCAAAGCAGGCTTGATTGATCATTAACTACTTCCAGACCCTTGCTTGCTCTGGATGTGTAAAGTTGAAAATTCCAACCGTGGTCCCCTCAATGCAACAAAAGATGCTATAAGTGCTGTTAATCACTAGGAATTTCCCAGGGGTGGAAACCAGCATGTATGCATTTTGTATACCTCACAAGACCAACTAGTAATATCAGAGGAGTACATGCTATATGACTCCATTTTTCTAATATTCTATAAATTTAAAATAATATCGATAAAAGGAGAACTGTGATTCTCAAGATGAAGGTCAGGAAAAGGATGTGTCTATGAAGGGCTAAGAGGAGGGAGTTTGTGACCAGGAAAATCCTGCATTTCTACAGTGGTCTTGGTTAGAGTAACCCACATATATGATACACTTCCTTAATACTATATTGAAAAACCAAAGAAGACGAGTGCTTGTTAAAACCAGAGGGATATGCCCTGGCCGGTTTGGCTCAGCGGTTAGAGCGTCCGCCTGCTGTCCGGAGAGACCCGGGTTCGGTTCCCGCTAAGGGCATGTACCTCGGTTGCAGTTTGTCCCTGGCCCTGGTTGGTCATGCGGGTGGCAGCCACTAGATGTGTCCCTTTCACATCGATGTTTCCCTCTCTCTCTCTTCCTCTCTCCCTCCCACTCTATCTGTACAAAAAATGGAAAAATGTCCTCGGGTGAGGATAAAAAAAAAAAATAAAAAAAAATAAAAAAACCAGAGGGATAGCCCTGGCCAGTTTGGCTCAGCGGTTAGAGCGTCGGCCTGTGGTCCGGAGAGACCCGGGTTCGGTTCCCGCTAAGGGCACGTGCTTCGGTTGCAGTTTGTCCCCGGCCCTGGTTGGTTGTGTGGGTGGCAGCCACTCGATGTGTCCCTTCACGTCGATGTTTCTCTCTCTCTCTCCCTCCCACTCTATCTGTACAAAAAGTGGAAAAATATCCTTGGGTGAGGATAAAAAACAAACAAACAAAAAAACCAGAGGGCTAGATCCTGTAGTGAACTGCACTGTAACAATGTCTCTTTCCTCTATTTGATAATCTACTGTGTCCTTGTAAGATTTTACCTTTTGGAGTAGCTACCTGAACGACATTAAGAAACCTCTAGAAAATGTCAGTTTGTGTGATTTTAAACTTATTAAAAGATGAAAATTAATAAAAAACATATATATTAATTTTATAAACCACTCGATGCTCTTCATAAACTTGGTTAAGATAAATGTGTTCTTATCCTCATAAAACAAACACATTTCATTTCATTTTGAAGAACTTGAAGTATTCGGAAATAATTCAAACTTAGAACTAAAGAAATGCAAAAATTACTACATAATGAAATAGGTAGTGCACAATTGTGTTGTACATATTAAAATGTAATCTATGAAGGGAGTTACTGCCACTATTTAAAATTTATAAAATCAATGCCAAGTAGAAATAGGATGAAGGTATCCTGTCCCCAATGTCTTGTGAGGTGCATTATCTGTTCAGACTTGAGACAGAATGCTTTTTTATTCAAGGCTTCTTTCCTTCATAGTTATCTGAGGCTTTGCTAAAGACTACACAATTACATGTGTTCATTAGTTATTTCTCATGAATTTACAGAAAAATAATAATGCAACATAAATACCTGAAAACCACAACATATTTCCTGCCAGAGAAAAATATTTATAGAAGTGACATCTACTATTAAGGAGATGCTTTCTTACAATTAGAACTAATCCTTCATTCATGTTTCCTCATGATTATATGATAAGGTCTACTTCCACTAAAGGGTTCCCACCTCTGTCAAATTTATAGGATTTACCTCAATAGACAATTTCCTCTGTCAAATTTATAGGATTTACCTCAATAGACAATTTTCAGACATACAATGTCCTCAAATATCTTCATCAAGGGTGACTGTATAAGAGCTGTTTTGTAAATACTTTCATTGATATAAAATACAAAGGAGTTGATCAGTAAACACAGTACCACATTCTTTGCACAATATTATTCTTCACTGCACATTATTATTTTAAGGACCTACTACGGGCAATGAGGTTACCCCAAAGGGATGAACTATAAATTCTCTTGTTTCAGAAGGATTCACAAGTGGTCCAAAGCTTTCCCAAAATTACTACACCCACAAGGCCTCATTCTTGTACATTTTCTCAGATAAACATTGAGTCCTGACTTTGTAGTGAAGACTTTCCCACAATCATCCCATCATAGGGTTTCTCTCCTCTGTACATTCTCTGCTGGGTAATGAGATCAATTTTGGGTAATGAAAAATTTTCACAATCAGTATATGCAAAAAAAGCCTATTCGCAGTGAAATCTCTCATGTTGTGGAGGCATGCCTTCTTCTTGAACCCTTCACAATATTCACATATTTGTTCAAATTTTCTGTACTATGAGTTCACTGATGTACTCCCAGAGTAATTGTGAAGCCCTCTCCACATGCATTTCTAATATATAATTTCTCTTAATATAAATTCACAGATGTGTAATAAGCATGCTTTTCCCAATCAGGCCATAGCCATTTTTGTTGCATATTGAAACTTTCCCTCCTGTATGAATTTGCCAGATGTACACTGAGATTACACTTCAAGGTAAGGTCTTTCTGACATTGAATGCACATATATGGTTTCTCCTAAGTATGACTTTGCTGATGTAACGTGAGATCAGTCTTCATGGTAAAGGTTTTTTCACATATCCTACATACATAGGGCTTCTTACTTGTATTTGCTGATGTGTGATCAGATGATACTTTGCTTTGAAATCTTTCCCACATTCACTACAGATGAAAGGTTTTTCTCCTGTATGACTCTGTTGATGTAAAACCAGCTTGGTCTTCACTGAGAAGCCTTTTCCACATTCACTGCATACGAAGGGTTTCTCTGCTCTGTGAGATTGCTACAGCACAATCAGACAGCTCTTAGTGGTAAAACTTTCCCCACAATTACTATACATACAAGGTGGTAAAACTTTCCCCACAATTACTATACATACAAGGTTTCTCTCCTGTGTGAAATTGTTTATGTACAATCAAAGATTTCCTCACAATAAAACCTTGCCCACATTCACTACAGATATAAGGTTTCTCTCCTGTATGAGTTCGTTGATGTAAAACCAGCTTGGTCTTCTCTGGGAATCCTTTTCCACATTCACCACATACATAGGGTTTCTCTCCAGTGTGAGATCGCTGATGTACAATCAGAGATTTCTTCACAATGAAACCTTTCCCACATTCACTACAGATATAAGGTTTTTCTCCTGTATGAATCCGTTGATGTAAAACCAGCTTGGTCTTCTCTGGGAATCCTTTTCCACATTCACCACATACATAGGGTTTCTCTCCAGTGTGAGATCGCTGATGCACAATCAGAGATATCTTCACAGTAAAACCTTTCCCACATTCATCACAGATAAAAGGTTTCTCTCCAGTGTGAGATCGCTGATGTACAATCAGAGATTTCTTCACAATGAAACCTTTCCCACATTCACTACAGATATAAGGTTTCTCTCCGGTATGAGTCCTTTGATGTAAAATCAGCTTGCTCTTCACTGGGAAGCCTTTTCCACATTGACTGCATACATAGGGTTTCTCTCCTGTGTGAGATCGCTGATGTACAATCACATAGCTCTTCCTGGTAAAACCTTTCCCACATTCACTACAGATATAAGGCTTCTCTCCTGTGTGAGATCGCTGATGTACAATCAGAGATTTCTTCAAGATGTAGCCTTTCCCACATTCAGTACAGATATAAGGTCTCTCTCCTGTATGATTCCGTTGATGTAAAACCAGCTGCACCTTCTCTGGGAACCCTTTTCCACATTCACTGCAAACATAGGGTTTCTCTCCTGTGTGAGATCGCTGATGTATAATAAGATAGCTCTTTCTTGTAAAACCTTTCCCACATTCACTACAGATATAAGGTTTCTCTCCTGTATGAGTCCGTTGATGGACAATCAGCTTGGTCTTCACTGGGAAGCCTTTTCCACATTCACTACAGATAAAAGATTTCTCTCCTTTGTGAGTGTGCTGATAACAAGTGAGCTGAGGCCTTTGGAGGAATGTTTTCCCACACTCAGTACCTGTATTAGGTTTCTCTGCCATGTGAGTTTTCTGATGTATATTCAACTCTAATTTCTCCGGGAAGGTTTTCTCACATTCAGTGCACTCATATTGTTTTAGTCCTGCATGAATTTTATGATGTTCAGAGAGCCAGTTTTTCATGGAGAAGCCTTTCCCACACAGACTACATCTGCAAGGATTCTCTTCACTGTGAACTCTATCATGTTGAGTGAGAACAGACATCTTGCTGAAGGCCTTCCCACATTCATTGCATGCATAGGTTTTCTCTACATTGTGAGTTCTCTTTTGCTGAATGACCTGGGTCTTATTATTGCTTTTCATACTGAGAGGTAATGTAATTTCAGTACAACATTGTTCACCGTTGCCATGAAGAAAGCATGTTCCATGTCCATTCAACTCAACAAAATTAGATAAGTGACAGCTTCTGTTTTGGCTTTCTAAACTTAATGTTGACTTTAAGGGTTTTTCAGGTGTCTCAAAAATATTACAATTTTTCTTTAATAGGAAATGACCTTCAATACAATTAACAATATTTAGACACAGGTTACGTTCACAGCATATCTGCGCACTCTTCTGAATGTTTCCAAACTGCAGGTGACACTGTAGCGGATCATCATGTCTCTTGCATTCTAGGAAAGAAGACAACAGTAATTCACTTTGAAATCTCTCCTAATCTTAGTTTGAAATAGAAACATTTTTTACAAAATGCCTTCATGTGAGGTAACTATTTAGTGACAATCTATATTGTAAAATACCAAACATAACTGGTTTCTGCCCAGAAACTAAACTTGTTAAAATATTGTAATACCCTAAGTAATATGAGTATCTATTGTTATACATTAAAAAAAAAAATTTACTAGTAAAGGTGAGTTTAAGCTAATGGATGGTAGCACGGGGATTCTACACAACTTCAGGATGGAACTAGTCACCAGAGACACTAATTGATTAGAAGGCTCACCTTTCAGCTCAACACACTGACCCATGAAAAAGGAAAAAGGGCCTAGGGAATAGAGTTCTATACAAACTCTTAACAAGATCTAACACATCAGGAACTTCCGGTCAAGATGGCGGCGTAGGTAAACGCGGTATCGCGTCCTCCCACAACCACCTCAAAGTTACAACTAAACTACAGAACAACCATCATTCAAAACCGCCTGAAATCAAGCTGAATGGAAGTCGTACAACTACGGAATTAAAAAAAAAAAGCAGCTACATCCAGACTGAGGGAAAGAAAGGGAGAAAGATATAGAAACATCAATATGAGAGAGAGAGAAATGTCAATCAGCTGTTTCCTGCACATCACGCATTGGAGATGGAGCCCACAACCCAGGGATGTGCCCTGACCAGGAATCGAACTGGGAACCTCTCAGTCCATGGGATGACGCTCAATCCACTGAGCCACACTGGATGAGGCTGAACTGTACATTTTAATGGATGAATTTTATGGTATGTGAAATATATCACAATAAAGCTATACAAAATACAAAAAAAAAAAAAAAAAGATCTAACACATCTGTGTTTTAAGTTGAACAAGATCTGATCTGATTCTGTGTTGTTTTGCTTTGTTTTGTTTGTTTTTTTTTAAACAAAGTTTAATATGATTATTAAATATCTAAGTATACACATGAATACACTGGTGGAACGTATAAATCATAAAAAATATCTTACATGAGTCCTGGTCAGTTTGACTCAGTGGTTAGAATGTTCTATTCCTGTTCAAGGGCACCTACCTGGGTTGCAGGTTCAGTGCCCCATCCCAATTAAGTTGGGGTCAAGCAGGATACAACCAATCCAAGTGTCTCTCTCATCTTGATGTTTCTCTCCCTCTACCCTATCTCTATTAAATATCAATGAAAAAATATCCTTGTATGACAATTAACATCAAAAATAAGTCTTATCTGAAAATAGAAGTGTGTATATACCTCACAGATGTAGAACAAATATTCCAATCGTTTATATGGAACCAAAAAAGACCCTGAATAGCCACAGCAACCTTGAAAAAGAAAAAAGCAGAAGGAATTGCTATAATGGATATTGAATTATACTACAAAGTCACTGTAATGAAAACAGCTTGATATTGGCACAAGAACAGGCATATAGATCATTGGAACAAACAGAGAACCCAGGTCTGGCAGTGTGGCTCAGTGGTTGAAGATTGACCCATGCACCAAAAGGTCGCTGGTTCAATTCCTTGTCAGGACACATGCCCAGATTGTGGCCCAATCCCCAGTAGGGGGCATGCAGTAGGTGTCCAATCAATGTTCTCTCTCATTGATGTTTCTCTCTCTCTCTCTCTCTCTCTCCCTCTCCCTTCCTGTCTCTAAAATCAATGCAGGAAAAAAAAAAAGAGAACCCAGAAATTGACCCAAGACACTATGCTCAATTAAAATTTGACAAAGGTGGCAAGAGCATACAATGGAGTAAAGACACTCTCTTTAATAAATGGTGTTGGAAAATTGGACAGCTACACAAACAAAAATGAAGCTATTCCAACTTACACCACGTACAAGCATAAACTCAAAATAGATAAAAGACTTAAATGAGACTTGTGAATCCATAAAAATCCTAGAAAAAAATGTAGGCAACAAAATTTCAGACATCAAAATGGAAAGGGAATCCACTGTATGGGAGAGGATAACTGCCAACGATACATCAGATAAAGGGTTAATCTCCAAAATATAGAGTACTCATACAACTCAACAAAAGGATGATAAAATCCAATTAAAATGGGCAGAGGATCTAAATAGACACCTCTCCAAACAGGACATACAAATGGCCAAGAGACATATGAAAAAATGCTCAACATCACTAATCATCAGAGAGAGGCAAATTAAAACAACTACGAGGTATCACTTCACACCTATCAAAATGGCAGCCATCAACAAGTCATTCACACAACAAGTGCTGGCCAGCGTGTGGAGAAAAGGGGACTCTAGTACACTGCTGGTGGACATGCTGACTGGTGCAGTCACTATGGAAAACAATATGGTGTTTTCTCCCAAAATTAAAAAAAATTGATCTGCCATTTGACCCAGTTATCCCGCTTCTAGGACTATATCCTAAATTTAATACACTAAATTTATTTAAATAAATTTAATAAATTTAAGAATATATGTACCCCTACGTTCATAGCACTATATACAATTGCTAAGTACAATTGCTAAGATCTGGAAACAGCCCAAGTGTCCATCAATAGATGAATGGATAAAAAAAGTTATGGTATACATATATATACAATGGAATACTATGCAGCTGTAAGAAAGAAAGATCTCTTATCCTTTGAGATGTCATGGAGGGACCTGAAGAGTATAATGCTAAGAGAAATAAGCCAATCAAAGAAAGACAATATCAGATGATCTCACTTATTTGTGAAATATAGTGTACAAAATGACCTGATGAATAAAATAGTCTCCGTAGCATAGAAGTAGGGTACAGACTGACAAACCTCAAAAGTGGGGGGTCAGGGGTCCGGAAGAGATAAACCAATGAACTTGTATAAACAATGGACATAGACAACAATGTGGGAGGGGGCTGGATGGGGAGGAGAGTGTCAATTGGGGAAATAAGGGAAACATCTGTAACAAAAATAAATAAAATAAAAACCAATGGAAAAATGTCCTCGCATGAGGATTAACAACAAAAATGTCTTATCTGAAAACAGAAGTGTGTATCCCAACAACACAGAATTCTTCCAAGAAAGACTCGTAAATGAGACTGTGTTTTGAATCATAGAGAATAAAAGGAAAAAGAACATACAAAGTTCTGGAATTCAGTAAAACCAAAGACAAGCAAACATGGAGTACTGTGATCAGGTGCACACCTGCAGACCCAGGTGTATAGAAGAAACACATGGTGAGTAAGAATGTGGATCCTCACCATCTGATTTCCAGATAAGGATCAAAGACCACTGAGAGTTATCATGTTTCAAAAGGTTGCTATTTTTCTTCATTCTGGAGACGAGTTAACTCTCCTAAAGCACAAATCTCCAATTCAGACAAAAGTTTCTGCAATCAAGACCTCAATGAATTGTCTCGCTGGAATATACTCTCTTATGTTCCTACATACAGGTGGATGACACGTGGTCAAGTGTTAACCCAGCAGGCATGGGTCACACTGTCCCTGTACATGCCAAAGCAAGGACTGGCCCTGACTGATTATTGGAATATTTATGCCATACCAGATCATTTATGGCAACAATGTTATTTATGTGGATGCCTTTTGTGTGTGTGGCAGAGGCTTTGGGCAACACTGTAATCTATTGAATTGTCAGGACTACAGGCACCACCTGGGTCGGCTTCCCTGGTTAACCATCTTTCACATGTGGTGTCAAACATCATCACTGGGAAAATTCAAAATTTTTTAAAAGACAACACACATTTATTATCTGTTTCTACAGGTCAGAAGTTCAGCATAGCTAAACTGGGTCCCTTTCTCAGAGACTCAAGATTGGGGGAAGGTGTGAGTCACAGGTGTGGCCTTATCTGGAGCAGGGGACCTCTTCCAAGCTCCCTGGTTATGGGCAGATTTCCATTCCTGAGGTTGTGGGACTGAGGCTCTGTTTCCATGGGTGACCCTTCCACAATGTGACGGTTTGCTTTAAGGGAAATAGGAGACGACCTCCGCTATTTTTGCTTCTTGTCTCTTAACTTTAGATACTTTTAAGAAACTGGTTTGATTGGGTGGGCAATGTGGCTCCTTTCATGTCACTCCTGGATTCTTTCCTAGATCACTTTTCATAATTTCAATCTGCATGTTTTACTCTTACTAATTGTAATCATAACTATAACAGTACCTTGTCCTCCCTGACCTTCTACATTGCAGGCAAAATGGGCCTTTTAAGAAATTAGCTAAATAATGCCATTTTTCTACTCGAACACGTTTCCTGATTCTCAATTCATTTGAAATGACAACAAGATCTTAAATGGCTTCAAGAGATGATGTGTGGCCTGTATCTCAGAACCCCAGCCACCACTCCATTGTCCTCACCTCCTGTCCTTTTCCCATCTGCTCACTTCACTCATCCAGACAAGCTTTCTGGACCTTCCTCACACACATTACACATTCAGCTATTTCTACTGCACATAGCATAGGCTCACATTGAAAAACTCCAGGGAGGTGACTAACATCCGTCATCTATGTGCCCAGAGGCACCTTCTCAGACAACCATTTCCACTCCTCAAAGCGCGGTTCTGGGACAAATAGCCAGCCTTTCACTGCTTATTTTTCTTACAGCAGTTTTTTTTTTTTTTTATCCTCACCCGAGGACATTTTTCCATTTTTTTGTTCAGGTAGAGTGGGAGGGAGAGAGAGGAACAGAGAGAGAGAGAGAGAGAGACATCGATGTGAAAGGGACACATCGAGTGGCTGCCACCCGCACGACTAACCAGAGCCGGGGACAAACTGCAACCAAGGTATGCGCCCTTAGCGGGAACCGAACCCGGGTCTCTCAGGACCGCAGGCCGACGCTTTAACCGCAGAGCCAAACCGGCCAGGGCCTTACAGCAGTTTTTACTTTAAAATATACATTTATGGCCCTGGCTGGTTTGGCTCAGCGGTTAGAGAGTCGGCCTGCGGTCCTGAGAGACCCGGGTTCGGTTCCCGCTAAGGGCATGTACCTCGGTTGCAGTTTGTCCCCGGCCCTGGTCGGTTGTGCGGGTGGCAGCCACTCGATGTGTCCCTTTCATATCGATGTTTCTCTCTCTCTCTCTGTTCCTCTCTCTCCCCCCTACTCTACCTGAACAAAAAAATAAAATAAAATAAAATAAAATATACATTTATGGCCTGGTAGGTTTAACTCAGTGGTTAGAGCGTCAATCCACGAATCCATGAGTTGTGGGTTCGATACCGGTCAAGGGCACATACTTTGCTTGCAGTTTGTCCCCGGCCCTGGTAGGGTCATGTATTTACCTAATGATAAATAGAAAAATATCCTTGGGTGAGGAATAAAGAAAAATATACATTTATTAGGTTATGTAGTACATCC